TTTGTTGGGAACTATTTTCAGTGGATTAATACAAATGTGGTGCTCTAGTGACTATTGAAAGCAGCAGGACGCTGTCTATGCGATTTATTCATAATATGCTACACTTCATGTTTATCTTAATGAAGGTGCAACAGTGTGGTTCACTTATGTGTTTTTAACTGTTTTTGGAAAACAATGCAGCTCTGTGACAGAGGTTTAAGCTATGTTAGGCTTACATAGGTCATACCTGCTAGTAGCATCAATTAATTGTTAGTTTTGCTATTCATTATGTGATCTTTTGATAACAAGAAAATACAGAATATAAGCAGACTAAAGGCCTTTACACAGTTTTTTTTTGCACGTCAATATGTTATTTATCAAACTGTTTTTTTTTTTTATCATGAGTACTTTCACACAGAAAGTGAATATGACACAGCAAAAAAGCAATGTTAGATTTTTTCTGGACTGAGGCTATTTTTTTTTTTTTTCTGAGCTTTCGCACTGCAAATAAAGGCATTAACCAATCACATTGTGCAGGAGAGACATCACGTCACAACCCATGGCGGACCTGTTGACTGTTTATGTTTCTCATCACCCTGTATTATATGACAAAGGACACAGCAATAAAGACAATGTGACAAAAGAGACTTGGGAAGATGATTGCTCCCTTTGAAACATCCAGATGCTCTTCAAAGCCCACAAAAAACTGTAATTTTACTTTTAGCTTGTTTGTGTGACTTTGGTGTTTTAACATAATAATACATCTTAGCGGTCCAGACTGGACCAGAGCCTCTGGACGGACAGCTGAGATGAACCTGGTAAATGCAACCTCTAGCTGTTTGGTGCTGAAATCTGACCCCCAAGACGCCTGGGAGCTCTGCAAGCTGCTGCTGCTGTCCTGCTGGGTCTGCAAAAGTGTATGTGGTTTTAATTCTTTTAATAAGTCGCTAATTCGGATTGCTGCTGGTATGAATAGTTTTGATGTTTTGACATATTCGAGGCAAGTATTTTGCATTTGTTATTGTTCACAGAATCCAAAAAATAGGCCTTTGTATGAGAGAGGTAGAAGAGCCTTCACTATTTCCTTTTTGGGTAATTTAATGTGCTGCTTTCATGGGCTGCTGCATTAAACTAACTTTGTCTAACTCATTTCTTTGACTGATTCACACTGACTATACTCTGGTTAGTATCTATGCAAAGCCAGTCTGATTAGTAAAGGTCATTCTATTATGAACATTTCCAGAGAGTAGACCTGGTGCACCAAATTTACACATTTAAGAGATCTCAAAGTGGACCGTGATCCATTATTTATCCCCAAAAAACCTGCAAAAAGCACATCTTTTTATCTTCCTATTGCCACTTGTTCCCTCTTTCTATTTCTGGGTCTTTCATTTCACCTCCCACTTTCTTTCTCCTCCTCTCTCTTTTCTATCAGTCCTCAGACTACTCAAAGCCCTTAGGGGCCTGTGGATGGTAGAAAGTGGTTGCACACAGAGAGAGACAGACTTTAAAAAATCAATGAATTGAATGAATTCCATACAGAGAAGGACACAATAGTTATGTTAGTTCAGAGCTTTTATTCTCTGTCCACAGCGTGTCCATTATCGGACCTGAGCTACAGAATGAACTTAGCGGGATGACCTACACTGATTGAATCATCGATGTCTGTCTCATCCTTTTGTATGTTAAACATCTCACAGTATGTTCATGTTCTGTTTGAAGTTTTACCCAGAGTAAGAATCTCCTGATGGCACAAACATGCTGCTACACTGCACATGTTCAACTTTTGCTCAGTAGTACAATATAAGCCAAAGAGAGAGAGAAAGAGAAAAGGAAAGGAATTAGAAATGGTGAAATTAGAAAGAGATGCAAGGATTGTAAAGGCAAACAAATTGGATTAACAGTAAAGAATGAAGGGGAATTTCATACCTGCATCCTCTCCAGCATATCGAAGAACTCTGCAGACTGAACCAGATAGAAGAAGGTTACAAAACATGTAAAACAGGGTATAACACTGCTAAACTTTGACTTTCAGAACACCAAATTAAACACAGGTTTAGTCAGTACAACAGCTCAGTCGTCGCCGTTAGTTGGCTTTAATTTACACCTTATACAAGTGTTTCCACACTCAAAGCAAAACCAAAATAATCCTAATTCAATGGTCTTACATCAGGTAACATTGGTGTAGACAGCAGCAGATCTTGCTGACCAGCTCACTGCATATTACAGTGTAAACCTAGCTGTGTCAAGAGGGCAGGGGAGAGACTTTCCAAACAGCCTCTCACACCCACATGCACACACACTGATAAGCAACCACTTCCTCAGAAAGTAAGACACGCTCATACAAACACATGCATCCTTGAGTGCATTCACACGTCCTCGCCCTTGGGGTTTCCATCTCGTCACATAAACAACTTTTGGGGGTGATAATGGTCTACATGCTTTGTGTCTCTGTGCTCAGATTTTGGCACATTTTTAATGTGCAAATGTGTGCAGGCAGGGTGAATCATGATATACATGTGTGTTTGCGTGCATGTATGCACTCACTCACACACAGGAGAAGTCAATTCATTCCATTAAATTAAACTTCCTGTTAAGAAAGCGTCCCGTTTTAAGGAAGAAATTCACAAAGACATACAACAAAAGTGCTATACTTCCTCTTTAAATGGCTTCGACACTGTATTGCTGTTGAAATACATTGTAACTAATGAAAAAAAATGAATGACCCACTTTTATTGACAAAAAATCAACTATAACCTACTTTAAGTGACAACCAATACCGCACACTAACATGTGTTATCACACTTATAAATGCACCATTATGGATGCTGCGCACATAAAATACTAAGCAAGAAGGAACCTGGAAAAATGCCTTACCGATAAACCGTAAGCTCCCGAACCAGGAAAGACTGGAAAGGTGATTAGCTGGTGTTTTACAGCCCTTTGAACGACTGTACTCTAGCAGTAAAAAACTGTAAATTACTATATTTTGACAGCACTATAATAAAAACTAATGTTATTTCCTACACTGGTTACCTGCACTTATGTAAAAAACCTATAAATCTGTCATTACTCCGACTGCCAACAGAACCACACACACGAAGAGCTTATCAAGGAGTTAATATTAACCAGTTAAAGGTGTTGTACGCTGATACGGCGCTGTGGCTGGACATGCAGAGTCAACACCAGACAGCAAGACCAACAATAAGCACAGCTGTTTAGATAGCAACTTTCAACATGCGCTCTCATGCACATAACCAAGACGTGTGTGTGTGTGTGTGTGTGTGTGTGTGGTGTAATGGGTACTGGGATCATATGAGGGTGACAAGAGGAAGTAAAGACACTGTATTCCTAAAAATCTGCCTTAAGTTTTTTTCCCCTTTGAACCTGTTGAGGTGTGAGCAACACGTCCTCGCAGACTGTTGACCATGACAGTTTAAAAGACGCACTGAAGCAGCTTGTCCTAGCAGTGTTTGAGTGTACCGCTGACAGTGTGTTCAATCATCATCTATATCCCCTACAGTGAGCAGACGAGCAAGGACAAGAGACACCTATCCATCTTTCTGCCTCGCTGTCAATCTAAAACAAGATGTCTGTATTTGTCATTTTTCATTTTTCTGTCCTTGTCTCACTAGGCTAATTTGTCCTCTCTTCTCTCCTAATGCTGTTATCTTTTCCTTTCTGTCAAGTTTATGTCTCTTTCCTTTTCTCTCTTTCTACTTCTTTCTCTCTCTTTCTGTGTTTTGCCTCTAAGTCTCTTTCTCTCTAGACCAGCAACAACATCTGCATTTTTTATCTCTCATGGCAACCCACTGGGACTACCACAGACCACAGGCAGATCAGACCAGCTGCCTGCCTGCCTGCCTGCCTGACTGACTGACTGACAGACTCACTGACTGCTAGAATTCACACATATCCATGTAAAGTCATGAACAGTATCATCGGCACATTGAGAGCGGTGCTGATAAGTCACAGACAGGGAAAGTGGCCTCAATGTTTCATCGTGTTATCTCACGGATTATAGCAATATTGCAGAATTTAACTTTATCAAAAACACTAATTGAAAGCTCGGGGGAAAGGAATTAAATGGGAACAAGCTAAATTTCCTCGCTGGTGGTTACTGTGTGTCAGTCTTTTTTTCAATAATAGCTGCTTTATTTATTTTCTCTGCTGTTTAGTTGTACTGAGGTAAGTGCAGTTCAGATCTATTTGTAACATGAGACAGACTTGTTCAAAATACCGGCACCTCACACCTCAGCCAGAGTTAGCATTGTCCTTGCATGACCGGACAGTATTTCCACAGACTCTTCTCTCCTGCCCACAACACAACTCCTTCTCTGGGTCAGATGGGTGATGTGTGGATGAAACAATGAGCCTGAGCTGACAGCCCTGGCTTCTCAGCTGGCAGATGTACAGTCAGACACAAACACCCTTATAGCATCCCTATAACACAGCTCTGTCAGGAACCTGAAACACTGGCTGATGTCTACACACATCTGTATTTGAAACATCAGTCAATACTGCTTTGGCTTGGTCCGTGGGTTATGAAATATTGTTGTGAAATACTGTACATGTGGGAGGAAATTTGCTATAAATAAGAGGATACCAATTCAATCACAACACTGACTGAGGGATGTGAAGTTGTAAAATCTTCCAGAACAAGTACGCTATGTAACATGAAATTTAACCCTGCGTGGCTTAGTCTGATATGGAAACTGCCATGCTCCTTTTTGATCTTAGCGGCACTGACTGACACTGGAGTGTGTTTTTTTCCCCCCGGCTTTTTCAAACTTCACTGGACAGCAACCCTGATGTTGTATTTACACGGTAATCAACGTGCTGCTGAGCAGTGAAGTGATGAATGGAAGGCAACATTTCAAAACAAATTTGTTCAATTTTGAGTTGATACCTCAAGTAGATTGTCTGTAGATGGCTAATTGATATCTGAAAACAACAGGACATGAATAAAATGATTTCCAGTAACAGACTATCTGGTGGTTTTTGGAATCAAAATGCAGACTTACCTTAACAACAGCAGCTAAAACCTCTGAGCCCTCTGTGTCTCTGCCTTCCTCTTATTCTTACCTCCCTTCTCCATTTAGAGAGTGACTTCCCTCTCGCTCTCTTTTAATCTCTATTCTGCCTTTTAACGCCTAAAGCTTAAACAGGAAAGTCAAGTCAGGCAGCAAATGGAACTGTTTGTCAAAACAGAACAGGTAATTCCAGTGTGTATGTGTCTACACAAAATACACACACAATAGGTCAGCCACGTGGGCCAAGAACTGTTTAAGTTTGGTTTTGCTGTGTCAGTGACAGTGTCTGACTATTAACATTACGCACAGTGCAAAATCGCATAATGAAATGCCTGGATAGAGAGCACACACCTGTCCTAGCCACTGAAAAACCCTTTTAAACAGGAAAGGAAAAACAAAGTGGCCTCACTTTATTTACTTTCTTTCTTTAATTGAAGAATGACAAATATTCCCCTGAAGAAAAAACATATGTGCACAGTAGCTCCAGTACTGTGCTGCAGTACGTGTGCCAGGTGCATAAAATCCCCATTTCCGTGCCAGTGTGGCCTCCCAGGAGACTCAACTTTATGGCCGCAGAATGGCAATGCCAATAACTACGCTGTGTAGCAACGACATGCAGTCTGTGCAATTAGATGTGAATGTTTTCGTATTTATGAGTAGTGCATGATCCAGCACATAAAATGCATAACAGAGAATTAGATATCCTGAGATTAGTGCCAAAACTACCATGCGTGAAAAGTGGCCAGTGGACACTTTAAAAACAAATGTTGAATATGTTTTTATTTGTCGTCAAATTTTACAGCTTTTTTGGTTGCATGGACCTGCACATGGTTTAGCTACAAGTCTGTATTACGAGTATTACTTAAATGTTCCATTTTTAGGCCACTGTACATCATCATCCGTGGTTTGTTCTACACATTTTTTCTCTAATACACATGGCAGCCAAACTTGTATAGTCTTGTGAATAGATTTGATGTGGACTGTGATTATAGAGAATTATACATTTCATAACTTCTTTACCAGTGTGACATTGATGAAGAATACCAGACCAATAGACCACTCTTTCTCACAGCTAAATTGTGGGCTGGCGACTGATAATTACCAAAAAGTAGCCACACATTAAGAAGAAAATTGACGTCTTCTGGCTTGAGTTATATTTATTTGATATATTACATTTTCTCTCATGCATTATTGTCTTTTTCCGGTCTTGGAATGACCACATTTTCAGTCAATCAGCTCTTTCTGTCTCTCTCCCCATGAGCAAACTTCCATTCCTCTCCTCTTCTCTCTGTGCTATCTCCCTCTGTGTTGTCTTCAGCAGATTCAATAATGATGGCTTAGTTCAAGGTGACACACTGCAGAAAGTGGCTCCCTCTCATAGGAGCCATCATCTATTTCCTGTATATCACCCTGCTAATCTGCCTCCGTGCAAAATGTATCCTCTCCCTTATCATGCTGGAGGAAGAATGAAAAATCCTTCAGCTGTAAGTGCAATGCTGTGCGAGTAATGAATGTCTGAAAACATCCTACCTCCCAATCTCATATAAATAGTTTAATGCTTTCTCTATACGTGCTGCACAATAATATGTCACTACATGGATCGGTGTGACAACGGCTGAGAAAGATTTCATTTGTATTCATATTCAGTTCTTGCTCTGGTATTTTTTCAATTTGCCGAGTCACAGCTTTGACCAAAGTTCCCTTTGATGACACAGTTTGATTGAACTTGACGATTTGTGGTCAGGATAGGATTAGCCTGAGAATAAAGCTTCAAACCTTTTCCTACTGTGGTTGGTCATGAACCAATCTACACCACAGGATAATTCAATTTCAACTCCTTTTTCTTAACACAACCTTTTAAGAATAATAGGAACCCACCCCGAAGACACAAGTCATACCAGAACTGCAAACAACAGTAGTCCAATGAGGGGAAATAAAAGCCGAGATCATGTATACAAAGTCAGTTCTCTAAACACAAGTCAAGCTCAATGAAAAGTAAAAGGAGAGTAACAGTATGAGTAGAGAAAAATATAGAGCTAAAATTCGAAGTTTTAGCATGAGCGATGCATATTGGAATCTTATTCCCCGAGCCGTTAGAGGCAATTCAACAAATATCTGCATTTATATCAAGCAGACATTTAAACAATTACATCACTCCACGCCTGAAGGAGCAATCACTGCAAAACTGGGAAGAGTTTGATTTACTAAATGTCATGTTTACTCTCTCTGAGAGCAATATTTGAAATAAATCATGAAGAATCTTTCTTGAACACAGGCTGCCCTAACCTGAATTTTGATTGTCTTGACAACCTTGAGATTGTATGACATAAAAAATAGCACAAAACAAAAAATCATGCATTGTGTCCGAGCTGTACCGCATGTATTTAACTAATGTAATGCGGTAAATCTATGTACATAATGTACATTGATAGAGAAATTCATATAGATGCAAACTGAGGGGTTACATTTTTCAGCAAGCTACCATAATATACAGCCAGTGCAGAGTTATAAAATAAGTATAAATGTTGTGACATAAAACAACATATTACCCTGTCAAAACCTTACTTTGCTTTAAATGTAGTTATGTAATATGTGTCAACTTAACTTTAAGTTGTTGTGACACTGCAGTTTGTTAGTCTTTGAACTGCTTTGCTTGCTAAAAAGATTTCTCAATATGGATAATCTGAATCAATAGATTTGCTAATAGGCTTAAAGGTCTAGAGGGCAAAATAGGCAAATTAATGAAATCAATATCTATTTTAAAATGTGTGTACAAATGTATGTCCCACCACATGTGTGCACATGGACATTACTGTGTGGGTGTCCTACCTTTATGCTGGGCGGTGCAGTACGGGGCGGTGAGGGGGGACATTCTCCCAGTGGGACGTTGGAAATGTTCAGCAGCTCCTGTTTCCTGGAAAGAAGAGGACAAAATGAGGATTAAACAAGGTTGACTTATTGATGTTCATGAAATGTTCCAAATTTCATCAAAGGTCGTCCGTCCCCATTTGCGTATACAGTGCACTTCCACAGCAATTTGATTACGCTGATGCACTGTCCTTCCCTTATTTAAGTGTACTACTAATTCCCCTCTAAAACAATCATTATTATATTATTATACTTATCTGTCCTAATCCTCATACACAACCCTGGGTAGTGGTTTGCTTCTGTTGGCGTGACCACCTCCTTATTGATTAGCACTCGTCATTTTCAAGAAGTTCATATTTCTTACATTTCTTTTTTGTCATATCTTCCAAACAGAGAGTGACTCACAAATAAAAGAAACCTTTTTTTTAAATTGAATAACTTATAACTCATATAACTTATTTCAAGCAAATATTCCCTTGAAGAAACTGAAACAACAACCATAATAAAAAGCTAAAATTAGAATGACGGAATCTAATACTGTTCAAAAATGACACCTAATTGGGTTTTACTCAAAATATCACCAGTGTTATGGTAACAAGATCACATCCTATTTTAGCATCACACGGCTTTCACACAACAGCAGATTAGTCAGATTCTGATTACTGAATCTTATTTTTCACTGTCGGCATCAGTATAGTTCATATCCGATCGGCTTACAACGTGACAACAGCATAAGGCTACTGTGAAAGAACACATTATTAATCAGCGCACTGACTTTTGAATATATCACTGGCAGAGCGCTAAATATTTTTTTAATCTATGAACAAAATCAGCAGGAGAAGGCACGTAAAAGCTGACTGTCCCTTCACTTTCTCATTGTTTCCCTTCTGTCTGTGGATTGCTACAATGGGAGAATTAGAAAAAAGTTTTGTTTTGTTTGTATAACCATGAAAAGCAAGCAGAAGAAGAAACCAGTGACGTGTTCTGTCTGTATACTGATCTCTGCCGCTCCACTTCAGTACTACGGACAGTGCGGCCCGATAGTAACAAGTATATCGGTCAATCATTTTGTTGTTTTTGCTATTTTTCTTTTGAGACATAAAGCTTAAACAGACTGACTTAAATACAGCTAAGGGGCCTAAGCCCCCTTTAGCCCCCTCGTGGCGCCAGGCCCACAGTACAATTTTGTTTCAACTTTTAATGTAGCTTCAGTAAAAAGCTTCAAAGTGAGACAAGGAGTTGGAGATATGCAGTGAAATATCAGATAGCTCTTTTAAAATGCTCTCTGGAGTCCCATGGGCTGTCGAGAAGACTTTAAGAGAAGTCCTTTGGGGCTAGACGCCTCTTATCCTCTTTTATGCTTTTCTGTGCAGCCTGCTCAGAAGCATGAGTGCACATTAATGATCCCAGATGTTAAAGGTTGAGCTGTCACTGGAAGACAGACGGAGGATTAGCTTAAACCCCCAGAAACCAGCCCAGAGAAAATCCAGTGGTTTTTCACTGGAACAGCTTCAGATTCTATACTTTGTGTTGGACACCTCTCATGTTGAATATATGATCAAGATCAGGAAAGTTTTCAAAGAAGTAAAGAGAAAAAAATAGCACACGTACACTAAACCATCTCTAACCCTACTTTGGAGCTGCAGAATGCACATAAAACCAAATTTTCTCTCTGGTCCTGTACATCTACCCATCGACTCCAGTAGGTGCAATGCCATTGTTCCAAAGGCCCGTTATTCCAAAACCCCAATAGTCCCAAAAATGTCCAATTGGACATCCCGAAATCCCATTCCATTTAAGCAAGTAGTTTTGGTGCCACCATTTAGGTCACCATACAGTCACCTGGCTTTATCCTTTCCTGCATGTCCAAAAACTCAGTCAGACAAATGGGACATTTTTTGGACTATTGGGAATTTGGAATATTGGGCCATCAGAACAATGGGCAGCCTATATCTCATCCCATAACCATATTATGTGAGACCTTTATATCTTTGTTCTGCATGCATACAGTATGTGGTGTGAAACCTTTAGCTTGTATATCTGGTTAAATTCTTATTTTGATACTGACAAATAGAGTCTTTGACAGATTTTATATCGGTCCTTTACTTGCTAGCACAATAGCATGATACACTGCAGTTAAACAAAAAACTTTCTACCAGTGTGGGAAGCTGTAAGTGATCACTTCAGATTTAGTGGATGGGATGACAAGACAAGAGTTTTAATTGAGAGTTTATATGAAATTAATATGCCCCTTCTTTCCTTTCATTAGCTGGAACCATAATAACACATTCTCCATTCTCTCATGTAGTGGTGTCAAGTGGATTGTGAGCAGCAAAAACACTCACAGTAGAAAATGTGAAACAGTGAAATTGAGGCAGCAACTGTTTGCTGGTAGAGGAGAACCATTCCTCTATTGAATTTAATCAACAATGCTCTTTGACGTTTCCACCTGAGGCTCAAAGACACCCAAACAAAGGAGAAAGTCACAGCACAGTTCAGTCAGTCACTGCAGCCCAAACCCAAATTCCTGTTCAACCCTGTTCATTCCACTGTCCAGAGGAAAAGCCTGTACTGCTCAGTTCTTTCCACAGACTCAGCTTTCACACAATGCAGCACTGTGTCCCCCTGTGTACGTAATGCTGCAGTATGTCAGCTCACAGTAACCAAGGGTGGACAATGTTTGAATGAGCATCATAAGCCAAGACAGACTGGGAGAATTTACAAAACTGGGAAATGGAGAAAAGCATGTTTCTTGCCGGACATTGTTCATTGTTCTTTCTCTTTGTTCCTTTCAGTCTAAATTAAGGAAGACAGTGTGTGTTGTGTTCCATCAGTGACCTGTGAAAAGCAAAAGCTTGTTCAGACCACTGTCCCTGGGGCGGATGCTGTATGCCTCTACAGCTGCCCTATATTGGCACAAAGCCAAAACTTCTCAATCTCATTGTCTTACACACTCATTCACACCTGCACACAGAGAGATGCTGTTTGGAGAGGGAAATTGCATGTGTCCGTGAGAGAAAGAGGGAAAAGACAAGGAGCTGCTCATCTTTCCAGACTGGACTGTCTCTGTGGCGATGAAGCAACAACTACGTCACTGCTACTGACTCCCACCCAGGAAGGGAGGGAAAGAGGGAGGGGGAGCATATACTGGGACAGATCCCCCATGTTTTATTATCACATTTGAGTCACAAAGCATCCGTTTTTATGAAATAAAAATACCCAGCGATCTTTGAAAAAGACAGAAGGTCATTTAACAAAACGTACCTATTTTCTGAAGGTATTTCCAGAATCATCAAAGACTCCTCTAACCATCTGATGGGAAACAATTTTTTATACACTGCACGATTAAAATGATTTTGAACCCATCTCCAAAGTTACAACTCTATTTCCCACTCCAAACAAAGAAGGTAAATGATTCACAGAAAGTAACAAAAATATGGAGAATTGTATCTGGTAATAAATAAAAAACATGGGGGACGCAAACTGCAAATATGCATTACCTTCAACGTTTTATTAAACATAACCCTGATCTTTCCTTTACCTTACTCAAGGGTTTTAGGTACCTAACCCTGATCATAACTCCACCATAGTTTATTCGCCACAACCACAAACTTAACACTGTTATAGAAAGCAAAGTATTTTAAAAACATTGGGATTTCACAGAATTGTCCATTACCAGAGTGATTTAAATAAAAGTAACACGTAGAGAGGTAGAGTATCTTGATTTTAGTATCGACAATGCAGCCATTTCTCAACAAAAAGCAGAAAGAAAAGACTGTAACAAAGCTGGACTGTAATGAATTTGAGCTCTCACTTAATGGATTTTTCATTAAAAAATGTATTCTGTTGTGTTGAAACTTTCATTGTTGGCTTTAAGGAAGTCAGAACGGTAAGCTATAAAATGAAATCAAAAGGTCAAATTGCTTTCAAACCTCTGGCTCTGAGCTGAAACAAACAATGCGTGGCAGAAATTTCCCAGCGAGCCAAAGGGCAGTGGCTGCCACACAGTTACATTATTTTAATACACAGTAAATACTGGCTGCGAGAAACATACGGCAGCTGTGTTGGTGTGTGTGACTTTCTCTGGCCAGGCGCTCTGCCAGAGAACAGTGACCTCAAAAATTCATTCATCCACAATAATAAACACGCTCTTTAAAGGATTTTAGGAAATAGTCGTTGTTGGATGAAATTCCTCGAGTAGAAAATGAATTAAGTGTAACTTAACTGAAGTCTCTGTCCCCTGGAGCTAAGATTAAGTGGTTTTAAACCTACTGGGAAAAAATAGGGCAGATCATGCTCCACATCTGCATCCAAACTAGTACAAGATGTACCTTTCCTGTAAGGCAGCATGTCTATAATCATGCTTGCATTTGGCTGGCGCTAATTAGG